CTGAGCACATCCCTGCTGTCCTGCTCCATCTCCTGCATCCCGGGACCATGCCCTGTGTGTGAGCAGCACTCAGGGCTGTACGCTGCACTAACACACACAGCTCTCCAGGACTGAGCTAATTACGAACCACAGAGGAGCTCAAAGGGATGAAGCCTCTTACCAGGGACTGCAGCTGGAATGTTACCAGATTACAGGTCAGAAGCAGAGCACACGCCAAGCCCCAGCTTACAGGAATGCTGCTGCAGCTCACATGTGAACACAAGCCTGAGGACCAAGCCCCAGCATCTGGACTGGTTGTGCAGCCTCCGGGCTCATTAGGGCAAATCCAGACCATGCACTGAAGAGGGATCTGGGGCCAGTCTGCCCTACAGGGACACATCTGCTCCATCACTGTCACTTCAGGCACCACAACACTTGCTTTACCAAGGGACAACCCAAGGGGCCCCAGCAGGATTTACCACCACTTCTGGTCAGCATCCAGCAAATGCTTTCTCCATCCTTCCTCTCTGACAAGATACCACCATCAGGATACAATCCTCTGTTACTCTAAAAGCAGTTGCAACACCCGGTCACAAGGTGAAGGAGAAATCCCCTCCCTTTGCAGTCAAATCCCCCAAAACTGCCCAGCAGGGAACACAGCCTGGGAATAGCCCAGCTCCCTGAGCAGGAGGACAGATTGACAGCAAACCAACACCCCACCCTCAAAGACATTAGACCAAATCCTGAGCAAGCCCAGCCCTTTTATAAGCCATTTGCAGGTGAAACCTGTAGACATTAGCTGGTTTGGGGAGATTCACATACCTGGGAGCAACCTTGGACATGCCGGCTGCTCCTTTATCCCTGCAGCACTCAGCCCACGGTGTAAGACATGGCTCTGGCATTTAGTGCTTCATGGGTTGTGAAGGGGATGTCTTGGCTTTTCCAGTGTCACGGCCATGGCTACGGCTTCAGCAATGTGCAGGGGGAGCCCAGCTCCTCAATGCATAGATACACAGCCACGTGTCTTGTAAATAGCCTGATTTATAGCAGGCTTAGGGGTGTCAGGTGTTGGACTGGCTGCTTCCAAGAGCAGGGATGAGCTGCTCAATGGGAGTAGAGGCAACCCCCAGCTTACACCTCCCCATCAGCATCTGAGTTGTGATTTTACACCCTCCTCACATTATCCTTCCACCAGCTCACCTAAAGCATGTCAAAATTATTATCCTCATTTGGAGAGGGGGAAAGGGGGGTGAGAAGGAAATTAAGTGATGTGGCAGAGGCCAGCCAGAGAGTCAGTGTCAAAGGCAGGACTAAATGCCCCCTCTCCCAAATCGCAGCCTGGTCTGGGTCTCTGTTAGGGCTGTGCCCCCCGTGTTTGTAGGGGACAGCTTTCCTGCAAAGTGTCCCACGGCTCTGCCCGCATGAGTCTGAGGTGCCCATGGAGTGGCTGATGCGGGTTGTCTTGGTGCCCCCAGGAGAGGTCAGATGCCCAAATGCTCACAGATAAGTCCTCCCAAGGAATAATTTAATTTAATCCTCTTTTTACCTTCTTCTCCCCCACCCCAGCAAAGCAAGAGCAAAGAAAATCTGCATGATTTTTGAGCTCAGAACTTTGTTCTTGGATAAAAGTCTTTAAAAAACTCACCGCCACCCCCCCCAAAGCCACAAAAAAACAGGGTAGAAGAAAGAGAAGGAGAAAGAAACAAGCCTGGGAAGCCGGCTCTGCACTTTGCCCCGGCTGCCTGGGACAAGGGGCTCTTTGTTTCGCTGGCCGGAGCCTGCTGTACTGGCCCTTTTCAGTCTCCCTCCCTGGGAAAGGGGCCAGGGGGAAGTAGGCACAAGCAGGGCAGGCAAAAAACCTGTGTCTGCAGTGAATAAACCCTGCTCGGACCCCCACCAGGCCCCCCCATCTTTATATAGCTGGTCTGTATAGTGTCTGCCAGAAACAGTACCGGGGGAAAAAGGTGCCCGGGTGACCCTTGGGTCTCTGCTTCCCACTCACTACCCCTGCAAATGAACATGTTTGTGTTCCTACCATGCAGGAGGTTTTAAACTTCTCTGTGTCTTTTGGATTTTGCAATCCTAAAGCACCTGCTAAAATGCAATGAAGCACTCAGCTGGTGTATAATCACCTGTCTGCAGCTTCCCGGACCTGCCATGCTGAGCAAGTCACATTGTTGTGGCTTTGCTGGGTCCCCAAGCACGTGGCAGCATAGGCTGGGAGCTACTGGGGACAAGTCGGTCTCGTCTCCTCCCACACTGGGGATACTGCCAGGGTGTCCCCAAGTCTACGGGCACAATGACACGGAGCTGGCGATGACTGTGGATTCAGCCAGCTGGGCAGGACTCTTGCTGCAGGGATCAGATCTAAGTTTGGAGACGTGTTTCTTCTCTTCTCCTTATTTTCTTGCATTGAAAAATCCAAGAGCTCTGCCTGGCTGCTAGCAATTCCCTGTCTCCCAACCCCAGTCACAAAGAGCTGGGGCTCTTGGCTGTTCTGCACTTTCAGCAGCTCTAACGAGAGTTGCAGATGCCCTCTCCAAGAGTGTCTGTCCATCTGTCTGGGCTGGAGCTCAGCTTTGAGGCTGGTTTTGCACACCAGTAAGGCAACTTTCTGCAGGCTGGGAATGGTGCAGGGCTCTCCGTGCCCTGCTCTGTACCCATGCCGGTGTGCACAGGGATGACATGAATTGGGTGGGTGCTTGGCATCCTGGGATGGGATTCATCCTGCCCTGCCAGGAGACATGCAAACACCGGCTGCTACTGTGCTTGTTTGCACAGCTCTGCTCCTGAGCAAGGAGTACCACAAAAATATGCCCAACTAACCCCAAAATGCAATGCTGGCTGCTCCAGGAGGACCACGCTGTACCCAGGCTGGCCCAGCACTTTGCAGCCAGGTCCCACATTTGCAATGCTCTGTTTCCTATCCTTCACAGGATGATGCTTATTAGAAAGCAGGGCAGGAAAACAAGAGCAATCTCTCCCCACGTCAGAAAAAAAGTTCCTCCTCAAGGCTATTTCTCCCTTGGGGAAAAGCAGGCGTTTGCAGTGTGCTGCACCAGCATGGCTTTGGGCTCCAGGGACACGCACACTGTTGGACCTCATCCTGTGGGGATGGCCCTTCCCGGCCTCTCCATCCCTGTACCAGAGCTAGGGAGGATATTTTCACCCCAGGGATCCCTTCCCAAAGGGTCCAGGCACCCCTTGGCCCTGGAGGAGGGGGCTGTGGGAACCGGTCCCACCGTTGCTCCCCATTACTGCTCTGAACAGCAACCACCAGAATGGAGAGGAGACGGTGTGGGGCTTTGTTAAAATAAATAAATTCAAGGAAAAGGCCTCAAACGTGTTTCCTCAGCAACCGCGACGTCACATGGGATGTCTCGCCTCCTCCCCACCCCGCCTTCTTATTATTAAAAGGGAAAAGAAAGCAAGGCAGAAAGTGAAGGGGAGCTGGGGACAGTCTCCTGGCAACACTGGGGACAGTAATATCCTCCTGCCAGGGGGACATGGCTCCAGCATGGGGAGCCTGGCCAGCCCTCGTGGCTGGAGCAGCGGGATGGGGACGGCATCCCTGGTGTCCCCTGGGATGGAGGTGACAGCACGCTGGGCACCACCATGTCCCCAGGGATGCTCAGCTGCTTCCCGGCCACGGTAGCCGTGTTAAACCCTGATTTACCCAGTGAGGATCCTTGATTTGCAGAGCAGTGGGAGCTTAGCCCCTCCATTTCCCCCTCTTAATTCAAGACATTTTTTGGTGATGATGACTGCACGCTCCCCCAGCACTCAAACCCTCGCCATTTGAGCTATTTAATCCATCCTGGCTCAGTTTTAATGGACAGTGGGACTGAGCAGGCAGGAGCTGGCAAAGGAGTCTGCACGGGCGTGGGTGGCTCGGGGACGGGGAGAGGGGATTTCTCCTGCCTTTCCCAGTGCCCTGGACCAAGGGGTCATCCTGTGCCCAGCGGCAAGGTCCTGCCAGCCCCCTTGCCCCCTCACCAGGCGCAGCTCAGCTGTGAAACGTGCCGCAGATGGTGCCGGAGCCGAGAGCAAACGGGGTCAGAAAGCAATTAGCCCAGGTCCTGCAGGGCAGCCCCACCGGTGCCAGTGTAGCTCGGCCATCCTGGAAAAGTCTTTAAAACCCTGATTACCAGGAGCAGCCAGGGAAGGATCCCTCTCTATTTGCCCATTTCTTATGCCCTTTTGCTAAGCCTCCACTGCTGGCCCCTGCCAGAAGAGGACACTGAGAAATGCAGCACTTTGCTCTGACCTGTTATCATGGCTGCATATTTAATTTGCTTCTCAGTACAGTGTTATGTACTTAGCAATGAACTGGCCAAACCCAACACTATTTTTTATCGCCGTGTGTTGATCCGACAGGGGAAATCGATATGTTCCTCTGACCGCCAAGAGCAATCTGATACCTCAGACTAAAAGAAACAGAAATAAAGATACAGGTTTCCACGGGAGCGCAGCGGGGTTTCCCCCTGCAGCAATCTGTGCTGGGACGTGCAGCCCCCCCTGGCTTGGAGGTAGATGCAGGTGGTACCCAGAAACCAAAGGAATCACGGGGATACCCTCATTGGAGCTGGACACGCTGCTGTGACATGAGGATTTCACCGCTGGAGGGGTCGAGGACCTGCAGCATATCCCCCCACTACCCCGTGTGCCTTTTCCACTGCTGGGGCTCTGCCCACCACTGCCGTTGTCTGCCCTCTCCTGCCTGCAGCAGCAGGCAGAGCTGGCTCCTGCCTTCAGCTCTCCAAGCAACAGCAGCTACTGGGAAATGCTTCAGCCTGAGCTGTAGCTGAGCAAGACCTGGGGTCCTGGCGTTTGGGGCCAGCCAGATGGACAAGCCATGCCCAGTGCCAGGGTCACTTCTGCAAGGCAGCTGGAGCAAAGCTGAGCCGAGGTGGGGCTCCAGGTTGGGGGGCTGGTGGGTGTCCCTGTGCAGACCCTTCCAAAAGGGCTTTCCCCCATACCATGTCCCCTGAGCGTGTTTCTCTCCCTGCTTCTCACCGCAGGTTCATGAATCACCGCGTCCCGTCCAACTGCAGGTACCAGCCGACGGAGTACGAGCACGCGGCAAACTGTGCCACCCATGCGGTGAGTTCCTCTCCCTGTCCCAGGGTGAGGGAGAACAGTGCTCAGCTGTCCAGGGATCCCCTGAGGAACCTCAAGGAATACCTAAAAATGTCTGTGTTAAGCTCTGGAGCAGTTCCTGAGGGTCTCGGGGCTGTGATGAGGCAGATATGCTCCAGATGCTCCCAGGGAGCAGGGATACTCTCCCTCTTTCTGCCCTGGGAAGCTGGTGTGCATCTCCCTTGCTCTCCCTCACCACGGCCCTGTGTCCCCAGGGAAGCTGGCTGTGGGCTCAGTGAAGCAGGAGTATTTTGCAAAGCTCCCTGAAAATGGAGTGTTTTTCACAGCGGGAACGGTGACAGGGACCCCATGGGGCTGCCTACGCGGCAGCGGGAGCAAGCGCTCCCCACATCAGGGTTTCCCTCGGGAGCTGGCAGCTCCCACTCTGAGCCCTGGGAGATGATCAGAGGTAGCCATCCTCCTTGTGCCTTCCTCCTCATCCCTACCTCCACCTGGAGAAGCTATTTTGGAGCTGCACCACACAGGGAGAGACCCTGCCTGGCTCTTGCGGGTGGCCAGCCTGCCCCTTATGGGTGGTAGCTTTCACCAGAAGCAAAAGAAACACCTAAAAGGAAAAGCAGAGACTGTATTGTAGCTGCTCAATGGAAACACAGAGTCGACAACAGGCTTGCTTCTCCCTTCCAGTTCTGGATTCTGCCCAGCATCCTCGGCAGCTCCATCCTCTACATCCTCTCTGACGACCAGTGGGAAACCATCTCAGCCTGGATCTATGGCTTTGGCTTGTCCAGCCTCTTCATCGTCTCCACCATCTTTCACACCATCTCCTGGAAGAAGAGGCATCTCAGGTACCAGCCGTGATTGCCTGGGGCTCGGGAAGGGGGAGAGGGTCCGGAGGCCCCCAGTGCTGCAGGCTGTGACCCATCTGTCTGTCTGTCTATCTGTCCTGCAGGACCATGGAGCACTGCTTGCACATGTTCGACAGGATGGTGATCTACTTCTTCATCGCGGCATCATATGCTCCCTGGTGAGTTGCTGGCGGGTGGGGACCATCGCTTGGCTCCACTGGAGGGGAGAAAATCAGCCTGGCTCCAACAAATTGGATTTCATTCTCTGGCTTTGGCTCTGCTTGAGGCTGTACCCTACCCCTTTCCACAAAACCTTCCTATCCTATAGATTTCAACCCCTCTAAGTTGAAGTTACAAGTTGGGGACACCCTTTGGTGGGACAGCCATGGGGGTGAGGGTGGCATTTCCCTGGCACCTCACTGCCCGGACCGGGGTGCTGCCCTAGACCCACCTCATTGCAGACCTGGGTCTTGCAGGCTGAACCTGAGGGAATTGGGTCCCTGGGCCTCCCACATGCGCTGGATCATCTGGATCATGGCATCTATCGGGACCGTCTACGTTTTCTTCTTCCATGAGCGGTGAGTGCCTTTACCTGGTATCGCAGAGCCCACCTCAGCTCTGCCAGCCCCTCTTAATGCCCCGACAGTAGTCAAACTGCAGGGGAGAGCAAGAAGGATGGAGATAGACACAGACAGACAGACAGACAGATAGGTACAGGGTCCCTGGGCAGCCTCCTGGTCAACTGGCAGTGGAGAGTTTCCTTGGACCACGTCCTTCCCCATCTGCACCTTGGTTTTAGGAGCTTTGGTGGCAGGGATGTGGGAGCAGGGATGTGGGAGCTGGGATGTGCTGCCATGAGTTGCTTCTCCCACATGGTGGCACCAAATAGAAAGCAAAAGGCCCCCGATGTCTCCCCGAAGTCCCAAGCTCCTGGCCCTGAGCTGGCAGCTCCCAAGCCAGGGTGGGGGTCCATCACCCTCGGAGCAGGGTGCCAGCCCCTCTGCGGTGGTGTGGCTCACACGTGAGGACATGGGACCTGCCGTGATGGCACCTCCACCCCTTTTCCCGTAGCACGGCAGTGGACATTACGAGCGTCAAACTCACTCGACGCTCCCTCTGCACCTACCTCCAAGCAGCTTCTCTGTCGGTCGCAGGTACAAGCTGGTGGAGCTGGTGTGCTACGTTATCATGGGCTTCTTCCCTGCCTTGGTCATCCTTTCCATGGTAAGCCACTGCTGGGAAGTACGCGGGCTCAGCGCGAGGGACAAATCTCAGCGGGGCTGGTTTGTCTCCGGTGGGTTGGCATGGTCCAGGCTGCGTGATGGATAAAGCCATCCCCAAATGCGATGTGGCCTGTCGCGGTTTTACAAGTGCTTTGAGTGCCCAGCAGATACCACGTGCATCTCCAGCGGACCTCCTGCCCGGGCTCCGTTGCTTTGAAATCCTCCCAGCAAAGCAGGGCTACTGGGTCCCCACTGCCTTGCTGGAGGGGAGGGTGTAGCAGAAGTCAGAGTGAGGGTCCTGCCTGCACCCTGCAGCTGGGGTCACGCTTTTGGTCTTGATGGAGTGGTGGCCGTCACTGAGCCCTGCCTCCCTTCTTGCTCCCAGCCCAACAGGGATGGCCTCCCGGAGCTGGTGGCCGGTGGACTCTCCTACTGCCTGGGCATGGTCTTCTTCAAAAGCGACGGCCGCATCCCCTTCGCCCATGCCATCTGGCACCTCTTCGTGGCCATCGGAGCTGGCATCCACTACTATGCCATTTGGAGGTACCTCTACCGGCCTGGCGCGCTGGAGACTAAAACGTCCCGGTAGACACCTTAAAGACATCGTTTGCACCAACTGGCACGTGGGGGCATGGAGGGGAGCGGGGGGACAGCCTGCACCGTGGGCTCGCCCCAAATCACCCGCTCGCCCCATGGGCAGCAGCTGCCGGTGCCCTTCCTGCAGGGACAGGAGAGCCTGGAGGTTGATTTTAAACAGATTTTTCTTTTTTAACCTCCGGAACTGTTTATTTTTTTTAGACAAAGGTTTTGTAACATGGTGGCCGACCGCCAGGCTGCGGGTGATAGGGGAGCAACCCCTCCCTCACCTGCCTGACCCTGAGCATCCCGTGGGAGCAGAGGCCCTGGCCCTACGTGCCCCTGGCTAGTGACACCCTGGGTTTGGCTACTGGAACCCTTAGCACGGGCCACCCAGGGGGCTGGAGGGGTTGGAATGGAGGGAGAGACCCAGCCTCTTTCCCCTGGGAGGGGGGCATGTCAGCACCCCTGCACCATCGGGGCTCGGCTCCTAAATGGTCCTAAGTCATTTCAGCATTAACCGCCCCCTCCCAAGTTCTTGACGGGAAGGTCCGGAGTCAACAAAGCCTTACATGAGACTGAAATTTGAATCTCTTCCAGAGTCCCTGAGCACTGCAAAACCTTTTCTCTAAGCCAGTATTAAGTGCACAACTTGGTACATCCCCCCAGATGGGCCCTGGGATCCCCCATGGTCATTCTCTCCCTGGGGTGCTTTGTTTTCCTCTCCTGTCTCAGTGCCGGTGGCAGCCCTGAAGCACGGCCCTGCTCCCGGGCTCTGCCACGCGCGTGCCTTCGGTGGGGAGCAGAGGGGGATCCGGCTCCCGGCATCCACCTGGCTGGGGGTCAGCGCATCTGCATCAGGGGATTTTTCTTTCTCCTCAAGAGAGGGAAGCGAACCTCCTTGGATTGGGATCACGGGGCTGCCTGCCTTCTCTGTTCCCGTCTTGATGATGAGCCTATTGCTCATAATCAGATTTAATTCCACTTTTGGGAGGATTTCCGACATTCCCAGGAATGCTGCAGGGAAGGGACACATCCATGGGGTGCTTGGAGGTGAGCTGTGATGGGGACATCCTAGTGACGCTTGGTTTTTAAATGCCTAACCACAGCTCCACACTGCTCTCCAAGGCAGGATAATGAGATATGGAGCACCCATACAGCCTTCAGGAGCATCCCCAACAGTGCTGGAATGGGAAAGCCATACCCTGTCCTACTCCCCAAACACACCGGCAGAGGTGGTGGAGCCAGGAGGGTCTGGGACATGCTGGGCTCTGGTCCGTGCCGGGCTCTGGTGTCTACTGGGGTCTGTGCTGGGAGCGGACGGACAGAGCAGCGCTGCTCTCAGTCCTGCCTGCACCTTCCCCAGGAGCCCCCGAAGGCATCGATTTCCCATCACATCTTTTTGGCCTCCGGATTAATCGCAACTGCGGCAGCCTTGGCACGATGTGGCAAGCGAAGGAGATTTATGGCCACTGTCCCACATCTCCTGTTTCTCCGGCAGCATGCCGAGGAGCCGAGCTCCCAGCTCTGCCCCACCACCCGCAGAACTTAGGATCCCCCCAGCCTGTGCCACTCCAGGACTGGCTCTCCAGGGCCGTGCCATCTTGCAGCAGATTACCAAAGAGAAAGCATCTGGATACTCATCCCCTCCTGACGTGGTGGCTGTGGTCACCAGGTCAGCAAAAAAAATCTGGTGGGTTTTCACTTCCATAGGCAGAAGGTTCCTATAAGGGACTCTGGGTGCTGTGCCCAGCACCCCAGCCTGGCATGAGGCTGCTAGGGAGGGTCTCTGCCCGGGGCACCCCAAAGCAGCCTTTGGGCTGGGATGCCTTTCAGGGTGATGGGTGGTCTTAGGGACAGGGGGTGAATGACTCGATGTGAGCGCGGTCTCTGCTGCTGCCTCTCCCAGGCCCCCAGGACACAGCTCTTGCTCTGTCACCTACGGCAGATGGAAGGGTGGAGAAGGACGAGCTGTGAGTAATCAGCAGTTGGTGGAGCATGTCTGGGGTTGGAATAGTGCGATATGGGGGCCCAGAGTGGGAGCTGCCATTTTTACTGTCTGGCAAGTCATCTTCTCTGTGCCTCAGTTTCCCCATCTGTAAAATGGGGGTGAAGACACCAACCTACCTCACAGGGCTCATGTGAGGACCCCGTGAAGCACTTGGAGGACAATTAGTGCTTTACAAACATGTGCTTCAATTTTCACTGAGTCTGGGGGCCCGGATTCCCAGAGCCACCCTGGGGCACGGTGACAACTGCGGCTCAGGGTGCGCAGGTCTCTTCCTGCTCCGTCACTAAATCCCACGGGGGAACCACCCTGGGGACAAACCGTGCACACAGCAGCCCCAGATGCCGGGCAGACATCCCTTGGCAGGGGCTGAGGATGCCCAGGGGCCACCATTCTGTTTTGTCTGCGGGTGTCATCCCGTGGGATTTATCTCGGAAGCTGTTTTGCCATTGGGGGCTTTTGGCCCTAAATCTGTCCCGGGGGCTCCCAAGGCCCAGGGACGTGCCAGAAGGACTTTTCCGAGGCTACTTCATCTCAGCCTCCTGCTGAAAACCCAGGGCAGATGCCTGGGTGGGAATGGGTGGCTAGGCTTCATCAGGGACATTGCTTCGTAAATCCTTCCCTTGCAAAGCAGGGTGGGGGCACAGAGCAGGTTATCGGATTGTCCTCCTATTTTATACTAATTTTAAATGACTCGTAATATCCTGTGGAGGAGGCTTCGAGGGATCTTTTTAGCATCTCATGTTTTTCACCATCCATTCTTGTTCAATCAGTATTTTATATTTAACGCAGTATTGGGTCAAATAAAATATAAGGAAGATAACGCTAGTGAATATTGTTTCCTGTGGAGTAGGATTGAAATAAAAACTCAAGATACCTCACTATTGCCTGCTTGTTGAATCAAAATTAGTTTCCCTGCAGCATCTGGAAATAAACCCATTTTCTATCTGACTTGCCCTGCATGGCATCGCCTCCCAGTGAGGAGAGGAGCCACTCAACCAGCTGCAGCGAGGCCCCGCTCATGGCAATGGAGCGCTGAGCACCAGCTCACCTCGGTGCATGGATGGCGTGGCCATCTGCTGGCTCGACTTGCCGGGGGGGGGCCAGCGTGGCTTTGCCCTTCACACCAGCTGTACGGGGAAATTTGGAAGCTTGGCGATGGGTTGAACTCCAAGCTGCAGAGTTTCCTTAAAATAAAATAAATTAATGAGTTTGCTGACAGCGGCCCTGTGCTCGACGGTGTTGGCTGAAGGGCTTGCCAGCATCTCACCAAAGTGGTTTCAGCGTAACCACTCTGCACGCCCGCTCTGGCCCTGTCATTTCCCCTCCTGTGGTGGCCGAGTCTGCGGTTGACGTGATGTCGAGCCCCGGGGCTGCCACCGCAGGGGAGGAAGGGTGCCAGATCTGGGGAGGAGGAAAATCTGTGGCAGACCAGGGTAAGCACTGCTCGCTGCGGACCCCAGAGGGGAACCCCCCCCCAATCATCACCCACCGGCTCCCACCAGCCTCGCCCATGGGCACCGGCTCCTCTTGGAGAGGGAGAATTTGTCCCCATCCAGAGAGTCTCCCAGCCGGTGCTGCCTGCCCCGGGCTCTGCACATCTACTGCCTGCCCTCTCGCTTGTACCTCTCCATCGTAATTATGCCGGGACCGGATTCCCCCACAGGCTGCGACGCTCAGCAGCTTTCCCAGAGAGCCGGGGAGGGTTGCCTGCTTCCAAGGGCAGCTGAACTCACCCCGAAACCTGGCCCACAACTTCCACCTCGCCCATAATTTCTCTGCTGCTGGTGATCGGGCTGGACTGGGAGGCCTCCTGGCTTTTTGCTTTCATGCAGTCATTCCCGGAGGGTGTCTGGGTGGCAGACCTACCTTCCCACCCAAAGCGTAACCCCCGCACCACCGAGCAGAGAAACACACCTTTAACCAAAAGGAGAATTTTTAACCGAGGGAAGGCGGAGAGCATCGGCGACCCCCTCCTCTCGAACAACTCGGCGCCGTCTCCATCCGTCCCTTCCCCATCTCAACCACCAGCCTGCCCTCAGCCGCAAGCACTTTCCAGGGCGACTCCGGAGCTCGTTTGATAAAACCCGTTTAAAAAGTGGTTTTTAAACGGCAGCAGCTGCCCACGCCGCCTTGCCTCTCTCGCTCCCTGGCATTTGAATCGGCCGCCTTAGCCGTTTATAACACCGGACCGAAAAGCTCCAAACCCTC